GGCCATTCATATATCTGCCTTTGAGAAATGTCTGTTCAGCTCCTTTTCCCATTTTTTAATTGGGTTATTTGTTTTTTTGTTGTTAAGTCATTTGAGTTCCTTGTATATTCTGGATATTAATCCTTTGTCAGATGTATATTTTGCAAATATTTTCTCCTACTCTGTTGGTTGTTTTTTTACTCTGTTGGCTGTTTCTTTTGCTGTGCAGAAGCTTTTTAGTTTGATATAATCCCATTTATTTATTTTACTTTTAGTTGCCTGTTCTTTTGGGGTCCTATTCATGAATTCTGTACACACTCCTACTTCCTGGAGTGTTTTCCCTATGTTTTCTTTAAGGAGTTTTATTGTTTCAGGATGTATATTTAATTCTTTAATCCATTTTGAGTTGATTTTGGTATATGGTGACAGATACAGGTCTAGTTTCATTCTCCCACATATGATTATCCAGTTTTCCCAGCACCATTTGTTGAAAAGGCAGTCTCTTCCCCAGTATGTAAACTTGCTGCCTTTGTCAAAGATCAGAAGGCTGTAGGCAAATGGGTTCATTTCTGGGTTCTCTGTTTTGTTTTAACTGTGCATTTTGCTCTTGCTTGTGTATTCATGATGATGGTCACCATTATTCAGATTCCAGATGAATGACTCCCTTGAGAATTTCTTGCAGGGCTGGTCGTGTGGTGGCGAACTCCCACAACTTTTGTTTATCTGAGAAATACACTATTTCTCCCTCGTTTCTGAAGGAGAGCCTTGCTGGGTAAAGAATTCTTGGCGCGCAGTTTCTTTCTTTTAGTATTTTGAATATATCGTTCCACTTTCTTCTGGCCTGTAGGGTTTCAGTGGAGACGTCTGCTGTTAGTTTGATGGGGGTTTCCCTATAAGTGACCTGATGCTTTTCTCTTGCTGCTTGTAGAATTCTCTCTTTGTCTTTGAGCTTTGTGAATTTAACAATAATATGTCTTGGGGAGGATCTTTTTGTGTTGAATCTGTTTGGGGACCTTTGAGCTTCCTGGATCTGAAGGTCTGTATCTCGCCCTACACGTGGGAAGTTTTCTGTTACTATTTCCTTGAATAGGTTTTCAATACCTTTTACTTCTCCTCCCCTTCAGAAATACTCACAGTTCGGATGTTAGAGTGCATGAGGTTTTCTGCTATCTCTTATAGGTTTTCCTCATTATTTTTAATTCTTTTTTCCTTTTTTCTATCAGTCTTACTTATTTAAAAAAGACCATCTTCAGGCTCTGAAATTCTTTCTTCTGCTTGCTCTACCCTGCTGCTCAAGCTCTCAGTCGTGTTTTTTATTTCATTGAGTGAGTCTTTCATTCCTAGAAGTTCTGCTACACTCTTTTTTATGGTAATAATCTCTTTGTAGATTTCCTCCTTCATATTCGGGATGTTTTTTCTTGTTTCAGTGTGTTCTCTAATTGAGTCTTCCTTTCTTTCTTTCTTTTTTTTTTTTTTTTTTTTTTTTTTTTTCGTGTCCAGCAACGGATCCCTACCCCCCGTTCC